CCCCCTCTCCCTTTTTTCAACCTTTTTTCCCTGTAAGGACTTTGCCCACCCGTATTTAGTCTTCATATATTTTTTTGACGTAGCTGCTCGTATGATTAGTGTTGATCTATTCCTTCCAAAAGATAGGACACTCGTTTGAAATGTTAGAGTTACTAACAAATACATTTAAGAACAGACCGATGCAGTTACTAGTACACTTGAATCCAGGTATAGTTGAACACTGTAAACGTGAACGGTTAAAAGATAGAGATAATTCAAGATTAAATTACGAAGAAAACTTGAACAGACGTGCGCGATAGGGAAATACCAAGATGATAATATTGCGTGTGTGAGTGTGAGTGTAAGTGTGTGTGTGTGTGTGTGTGTGTGTGTGTGTGTGTGTGTGTGTGTGTGTGTGTGTGTGTGTGTGTGTGTATTTTTTAAGAACACCTGAGCAGAAAAATGAGCAGTGAATTAAGATAGCTGGTGTCTGCCTAAGATCTGGCACTAAGAGAAAAAGAAGCTTCTACTGAAGAGCACAGGGGGAAAACGTCGATAGTCACAAACTGGAAATTGTGAGGGGGCCAATTGGAAAAGCTTTTAGACTCAGAACTTCATATTTGTTGGACTTGGGGTTTATTGTTACGTGCTCTTGAATGAGAAAGCTAACAACACGAACCAACCAACAGTTGAATAGAAATACAGTTATGAGTCAATAAGCGTTCAAAATTGGTATTCTCACGATTTTAAGTTTGTGACTATCGTCGTTTTCCCATGTAGTCTTCAATTGCTACTTAAGTACAGAACTTTTACTTTATTGACTTTACAGATACAGCGTGGACCCCAGCGACTTTGACCCCGGTGTTGGCGCCATCGTGAGGTCACTAGACGGCCTTGACCGCGATGACCTTCACGTTAGTCTGGTGGACCAGCTAGCCGGGGGCTTACCCCTGGAGCAGTCAGAGGAGCTGGTCAGCAACATCCTACACTTGAGACAGACTGACCCCGATAAACCTCTTAAGGTAAGTGATAAGTGATGTATAACTGTTCTTCAATGTTTTAGTGCAATGTGAGTGTGTGTGTGTGTGTGTGTGTGTGTGTGTGTGTGTGTGTGTGTGTGTGTGTGTGTGACAGACTGACCCAGATAAACTGCTTAAGGTCAGCGATACCTGGTGCATACTGCCAATCAATTTGAGTCGAACTGAGTCGAGGCCAGTCGGATTTTCCTCAATAAAGGGGCAACATTTGCCATTTTGGCACAATTTGATTGAATCCTTAAAAAATCAAACCTGGTTGTTTCGGTAGATTCGATAAAATTGTGCCAAAATGGCAGGTTTTGTCTATGAAGGAAAATCCTGGCCAGCCTCAATCAATCAATGCATCAAAGGGGGAAAATGAACGGTGTATTAATAGCACTTTGTCTGATTGCCAATCACCTTCTCGATAAGCTCAAGCTGACACTGATTAAAGTCTTTAGTTTAAAAGAACTTTTTTCCCCCCAATACCTTCCACACATAATGTTTTGTCAATTATTATATAATGAATATTTTGTAAGTGGCTCATGTCATCATATTGTAGCAGTTATTGTTGTTGCTGTTGCTGTTGTTGTTGTTGTTGTTGTTGCTGCTGCTTTTGTTGTTGTTGTTGTTGCTGCTGCTGCTGTTGTTGTTGATGTTATTATTGTTGTTATGATTGTTGTTGTTATTATTGTTGCCATTATTGTTGTTGTTGTCGTTTCATTGTTGTTGTTCTTGATGTTGTTTCTGCTGTTGTTGCTTTTCACTGATGCTGGCGTTGTTATTGTTTTTGTTTCTGTTTTATGATCGTTAATTTTTGCTTTTATTGCTGTCACTGCCTATGAATTTTGCTGTGTGTTTTTATTGTCTTTGCTATTTGTTCGTTTTGTTGTTGAGGCTAGTGAGATGAGAAGAGTAAGCCTGATTCCCCGTTTGGACTCCTCTGTTGACATTCACCCCTTGGCGCTCATATAACCTTATGCAGTTGCGGGCACCGTAAAACCTTATTAAAATTAATAAAACTAAAACTGTTGTATTTTCAATACAGTTGACAGAATCTCTGTTGTCTTTTCAATACAGCTGACAGAACCACTGTATCTTTTCAATACAGTTGACAGAACCACTGTTGTCTTTTCAATACAGTTGACAGAACCTCTGTTGTCTTTTCAATACAGTTGACAGAACCTCTGTTGTCTTTTCAATACAGTTGACAGAACCTCTGGCCGTGGCAATACCTCACTGTTCCCCGCGCCTCCACCCAGGCAGAGAGCCAGTGGTCAAGATGAGGAGGGATGATGGGGGATTGGTCACTCTACCTACCGAGGAGGTGTGCTTTGAAGACATAAAGGTAACAGGACTGATTGGGGTGGAGTGGGGTTGTGGTTCGGGTGGGGATGATGGTAACTTGACTGATGAAGAGGGAAAAAAAGAACAAGACGAAACAGAGCTAGATAAATACGCTAACATACACACACACAAACACACACGCACAACAACAACAACACACATACTTTCACTGTCTGTCTGTCTGTCTGTCTGTCTGTCTGTCTGTCTGTCTGTCTGTCTGTCTGTCTGTCTGTCTGT